GGATTTCTGTGATCGTCTACTGCTATGCAGTTTATGTTCAAAAATTGCTTGGGATGTGTGGTGTGAAACTATTCTTTTCAAAAATCTAGAGTATGTCTTTTTATGATACTTACACAACTTGGCTTATACTTGGTAATTCCTTCGTTCCCCTGTCTCTTCTTGCATATGGTTGTCGAATGCATCCAGTTGCCACTGTCTTCGATGTTGCATCTGCATGATCTAAAATTGACTAAAATGACAACATGAATTTTGAAATAACTCAAACTTCATATAACTTATCTTACCTTCAGCACGCACCCCTTGTCTCTGTCAATTCCGTGTTCACCTCAGGCACCTCTTGGAGAAACTCAACAAAAAAGTAGGAAGATGTAAAATAATCAGGTGAATCTTGACAGGATGAACTCTTGATCGTGACGTCTTATGTCGTCCTAAATCAGAGGTCTGTTCAGGTATTTATGGGGTGAACTCAACTACCAACAAACAACAGCATCTTGGTTGAACACGTTAAAAAAAATTGTTTTTGATCATCTTGATATGACGCACGCACTCTGAATCCAAGCAGTGGAAGAAAAAATAGAAGTTCGAGTTCGACGTCGCTGAAATAAAACTTTTAAGGTTGTATATTACGTTAGTAGGAAAAAATACGTTGAGCTGCTTTGTGTTTGTGTAACTTTATTGATCATCAAAGTGCAGCTTATTACAATAATAATTGAATAGTAAGAGTTTATACTAAGTCCATTTAGTATAAAGTGGCAACTGTTTTTTTTTCAACTTTTATTGATCTTCCAGCAATATGTAAGTACATTTCAATTAACTAACTACAAATCATCCTTCAGCTCGATGCAGCTTGGCTCATCTTGAGTCGGACATATTGGGCGTAGACTTGAACAATCGCAGAAAGGAAAGTAGCCCTCCATAAGAGTATCTTGATAAAAATGAAGAAAAAGGTTGATGTCGCAGGCGATCTTGACAGGACGCGCCGAAAAATATATTCTTCGAAAAAAGATGAAAAAATAACGCAAAAAAGGATGAAAATCGTGGATGTTCGACGTTGCTAAAATAGAACTGCATTAGTAATTTGTATCGTTAGTTTTATTATATTAAAATACGTTTAAGAAACCACAGTGACAACAATGTGTTTTGTTCTTTTATTTTTAGTGATTTTAGTACAAGATAACTAAAGATATCCCTTCCTAGTACTATTTAGAAATGTAGTCACAGCTAGACTACAAGATTATCTAAAATTAAAAAAAAGGACACCAAAAACACAACAGCGTTCGTATCTTTTATTGAATTGCATTCATTAGTTACAAAGTTTAAACAAATAAGTAAATTATGGGAAGGCCCCGACCCATCAAATGGACACCCCAGGGTTCCCCAGACCTTACGCAGTGATAATTGGCGGCTTGATATCGAAATATTGTCGATACCAAGCCCGAGATGACCTCAAGCTAGATCGAAACAAAAAGCTAAGACGAAATCCAAATCTGAGCCGAAAGTCGAAGCCGCATCTATGCTTATAATATAAGTAATAAAAATTCACTAACCTGGTGTCCCGTCGTTTACTTGGGCTGATAGATTATGGTTCAACGTTTATAAAGCTGAACACGCTCGCGCAAAGCAAGTTTCTAATGAAACTTGCTCGGCACGCGCGGCAGCATTACTATACATAGACGTTGTACCATGTCAATCGGCCCTACCTTATATGGCTCAGTGCTGTCATCACTTGGTACATCCTTGGTCGGTCACTCTTCATTTTCGAGGGTGGACTGGTTTCCAGTAGTGTTTCCAGTACGATGTGATCCAATGGCTTGTCCAATCATGGGTTGAAGGTTTGATATTCTGCCACAATGAGGTTCTCTGGTCTGGTTTGCTGAAATCTGTAAATGGTAAAATTTCAATTGAAAAAAGCGTCAATAAACCATAATGAAAGCCGCGCTCGAGAATATAATTTAATTGCAATTGTTAAAATTTGTGTATTTATAATCGCAGTTTTGGTAACCAGGTAAAAGTTCTTCGCAATTTTAATGTTTGTTATACGTCCAATTTTTGCACTCTCACAGCGTTCACTGTTTGCTCAGAGTGTGATAAAGAGCAAGTTGTATACATCAATTTTTGACACTGAGCAGTAGTTTAGTAAAGAAATAGGAAACAAGGAAATTTTCCGACAAGTTAGGTGTTATTTGGTTCTACCCGAGAATCCACTCGTCTTAACTGCTAGTCAAGTCGCTAAAAATATACCCAATTAATAGTACAAAACTTTAATCAAATAGCAACCTATACAAGATAAATTACTGTGCTGGCTAGGGCTGTAACAATTATTTCAAACAGCATAATATTGTAAAGTCCTTACCTTTTAAACTGATAGCTGATGTTTGCAAACTGTTGAGTCGACTCTTCGCCATGTGGTCGTGAGACAATTTCTTTAAAGACCAAAAAAAAGGTTTTAGTAACTGAAGTTTTCAAAATGATAATATAAAATTTAGAATTAAAGCATTTTATCCCATTTTATCTATCACTTTTCCAGAATGCGAATTACAAACTGAACTCTCTCTGAGTGTGCATAAAGTATTGAATAACGTCCTCAAATTCAACCTACCTGAGTTTGGTCACCCGGCCTGGTTTGCTGTACTCTCGTCTCACAAGTGATATAATTTTCAGTGTCGTTTTTGTGGTAAATGGAGAAAATAGCAAGACGAGAGTGGAAGAAGCTAAAGAAGGAATATTCTTCTAGAGTTGTCCACAACAGAGTGTGCTTTTGCGTCTTCCTACGCCAACCGAATAATTATTAAACTGTCGTTTTAAATCTTGCGCAGGAATTTGAACGTGGCGCTGCCGAGCAATCTCGTGATTTCAAAATCGTTTCTTGATTGGTTCTTTCCATCCACGTACAACCTCAAAATTAAAATCTGCAATTCCCAATGAGATTTATAATACAATAGTCCTAATTTGCAAATAAGAACAACAACGACTTGAGGGAAGGACCCTGGCGCATATTCGTGCATATGTTCTATTCGGGGATTTCAGGATTACGAGACTCCCTAGAACAAAAAAGGGCAAGGATTTTCGAGGGTTTATGGAAAGAAAAAAAGTTACCCCTGTATTGTACGAGGAGCAGGAGCTGTTGCACGAGAAGTTATCTTAAACAGGGGCGTTAATAGGATTTTTAAGCAAGGGGCCTACGCCAGCTTTTTATTGGGACATGAACGGAGGAGGCTGAAAGTTTGGAGGAGAAATTTCCAGCATTCTAGTCTTGGTACAAAGGAATTTTAATTTCTCCTTCCCGTTGACTGGATTCCTTTATTTATTTATCTATTTATTTATTTATTTATCAAAATTTTGGACAGATAACGCTTTAAACGCTATTTTCACCATACTATCATAAAACAAAAACAAATAATATCGATATCAAAGTTCTGAAAGTTGTTAACACACACTATTAAAGTACGACAACCGTAAGAGACAAAACACAAGAAATTTATTCATTTTCCCGTCTTCGCCCCCTCCCCACCCTACTCCGGGCAGCAAAAGTAGCCCTTGCAGGGGAGAGTAAGTAACCCTTTTTAGCCTTAGCAGTGACCAGAGTCTAGTTATTTCCCCTTAGGAATCCTCCTCATAAGAATAAAAAATTATCCAGGAAGAAATTTCTCGAAATAAAAATTGTCCCTTAATGGAGAATTCGCACCGTTCAGTAAAATGTTTAATTTTCCCGCGCACATTGCCTTGTCAGCGGTAAACTTGACTCGGATCATGTGATCACTGCCCGCCAAAACAGAATCAAGCTTTCGAAGGAGGATTTGTAGTCGATGTTCGCGTGATTTTCGCTATTCTTTTCGGTTTTGGGACATTTTGTGAGAAACAAATATCTTAAAAGCGTCTTCAGGTAGGTACGACAAATTATAAACTAACATTGACGAAGAAAGATGCCCAATTTCACGTTTATAATGGGGTCATTTTTCTGCTGTCAGTCGATCGATAAAGGTCCCAAGGTTTTGTTGGGTTTACAGCTGTATGCTTAATGTTTGCTTGTAAACTCAACATGTATTCATAAGTTGCCTATTACATTGCTTTTAGAGTGCTTAGATATTATATAGTCTTTCAGATAGTTTATAGATATGTCTTGGAAGAGTGATAGCTGAATGGCAAGCTTTTACATTTCAATTCATGTTGCTCCTCTGACAGGATGTCTTTTATCGAATTTCTGTTATAAAGGCATATTCGTGATGAAAATGTCTACTGCGAATTTATTAAGATTATCTAAAGGGGTAAATTCTAATTCTCATCTTGAACAGTATCATACACAATCAGCTGGTCTGGTATTTTGCACGAATGATAATAAGCTGAAAGGTTTTTGGTGAAAAAAGTGCTTATCTCAAGAGATAGTTTACATGTTATTCAGAGTTTGTTTCTTTTAGCAGTAATTTACCCTTTCCTTAACCGACCCTCCCCCTTATTGGGGATGTGAAGCCTTATTAAGCCCATTTTCTCAACTGATAACAATAATGGGGTGAGCCGAATGGCGTTTTCAATCTCAGTTACTAGAATGGGCTATTGAATTTTCAGATTTTTGAGGTAGGAATAATTGTTTTAAAATGGGAACTATTTGATTAAAAAATCAGAAAAAAGTTTTGTTTGTTAAATTTAACAATAAGCTTATATTGACTTTTTGGACCGCAAAAAAACTTTTTTCAAAAAGTGACTAAGATGGGCTGTATATGGCCAAAAAGTAACATATAGCCTAGTAGCAGCTCAATCAATCAGAATGCAGCATTGATAATAGACCACCAGTTGGATTTTACTAATAGGTCTTACACCCGATTTGCTACTTGCCAATTTCGCTACATTCAAGTTTGCTACCAACATACTGGCTTGCTGTCTATTGACAAAGTCCAAGACTAGCACCTTTTGGGTAGTCGCTAACTAGGAGGTAGCGAATTCAATTAGAAGCAAAACCGGTTATTACCGGCCTGAATAACATTTGGGTTATATAAAGGTTGTTTATGTTCTTAATACAGATGATGCCTGTGTTGCAACCAGACGAGGAAGAAGCTAGCGGCAGTAGTGTAGGAGCCAGTAGTCCTGCTGTCAGTACGCCATCTCCTTCCAGGACAAAGGTAAGTGGTTTGATGACTGCTGCAAAGAGTTGCTTTTGTATTAATTGAAATCAATAATATACAACTATAGTAGTGGATATATTATACCGAGACACGAAGCATCAAGGTATATATCTAGCGCTATGAACCAACCCTGAGGGGGATAGTTGTTTTAGTATTTTACCAAATCAGTTGGATAAAAATCAAAAAGAAACTTTTTGTAACGAAAAGACATCACTTAGTTAGAGTTTGTTTACGTTTCAATTGACAGTGTTTCGGTATCAGTTTTTATGATTTTGTTGCAAATTCAATGAGAAAATGTTTTCTTCCGACCAGTAAACACCAACAAGCCAAATTTTGTCTCTTTCTTGGCATTTGCTGGTGCAACTGCTTCATTGACTGCTAAAATTTTATCTTTCAAAACTGTTGCAAAACGAGAAGCCATTTTTAATCTCGTCCAAAAAGAGCAAATATCCAAGGATATTCTGAGTTACGGGAGCTAATCAGAATGCGCAAAAATTGCAATCCACTGATTTGGTGAATACTAATATTGTTTATTTTACAATCGCCTGTCTCTTAACAGACACCTTTATAAGAAGACGTTGGTAGAACGGACACCTAGAGCTGGTCCCTACCTTTCTTTAATCCTTTTATTTGACTCTCTAAAAGACGGACGTCACTCTAAGACACTTTGTGTCATTCCCAGAGGTGTCCATCTTAAAGGGAGTTGACAGCATTTTGTGTACTTTCTGTATCATTATTTTGTCTGCTTCAAGACTTAATTATAGATACCCATACACCATACAAGGTTTAGTTTACATAATTTATATGAAAATTGTTTGGTGCTAATTTTGATGGTCTCTTATGGTGATTGTTAGACTAGCTCATCAGGCCCCTCGCCGAGACGCAGTGGCAGGAAGACAAGACAACGAATCCTTTATGGTCACAAGAAAGACACTCCTTTGACACCACATTCTCAACCTAGAAAGGCAAAGGAGACTCTAGACAGTGGATCAGATGAAGATGAGGAAGAAAAAGAGAGAGAAGAGGCCAGGTAATAATTAACTTTAAATTGAGCCGAGATTACCAGAGCTACAAACTATCATTTTTCCACATGTATTAAGGACAGTGTCTGTTTTTTTTTTTTTTTTTTACTGTCAAAACAAATATTCATTCAGTTTCAATCACTTGAATAAAAATTACTAACACAAATCACTGCCAAGTCATTACATTTTTACAACAATCCATTTGTACTCAAGGCAACTCCCAAATTTTATTACCTTAGTTTACCTATCTTTCACTAGTCCTGTGGTAGCCATTGCATACCCCTACATCAACAGTTGAGATAACTTTTTTGGGGGATGTTTAATTCAGTTTAACCAAACTTCTTCAGCCAGAAGTTGTATTTATGTTGTTGGTGTTGTTTCTTATTTAGTGAACAGTCATCGGGGAATCAATCCAGTGGTGACAGTGATCTGGAGACACCAGTGCATGCATCTGCCCCTGGACGAGGAAGAAAAAGGGCTGCCACAATTTTCAAGGCTGTTCCGGTATAGTTATCCTGTGATTTTGTTACAAAATAGTTATACCAATGTATGGTGAGTGTACTGACTCATCTTGAGAAACATCATGAGTCCTAGTGCAGATCCTGTGAATCCCAGTTCAAAAAACATTGAGTCCTTCTTGTTAAAGCACCAAAAAAATCTAAGATAAATATTTGTCTTTACACAACAGCCACAATTACAGCGAAAGAAATCGCTCAAACAGTATATTCTACAAAAACATTGATCAAATCAATCGATCTTCTTTGCATCCCAAGGGATGCATGCCATGAATTATTTTGCGTCTCTGGAGAATTTTATGTGTCAGGGACGTACGTAGGACGCAGAGGTGACAAAATGACTGGTTATCTTGTTGTCAAACAGAAAACTTGGTCCAATATCTGGCCTTACGTGAGAACTAGGGAATGAAGGCAACACAGTTTGACTTATTAGAGAGAATGTTAGAGAAATAGAGATGGGGAAGCATGTTTGAACTTACCCTTAACAATAAACGTAGGAAAAACATAAGGCACTACATGTATATAGCCCAGTCATGATTGCACAGAAGCGAGGGTAGTATAGTGAGCAATAAACATAAAATTAAATGTACGGAAATATATTTTGCACAGGCAGAAAATTTCAGTTTTTCTCTCTGTTGCCTGGGTTAGAGAAAAAACAAACACACACAAACATTAATTTTATCTTCCCTCACTCTCCATCCTTCTATCATTAACCCCCCTCCACAACCACTCAGTGCCCCTTGCATCATACCTATTTGCCAACCTGCAACTACATGTATAACCTGCAGTGAGTTAACTGGTAGTCTTGTTTTACCTAGGCACCCAAGAGAGCCAGATCTAAACCCTCTTCTGCCCGTAAATCACCAGCTCAAAAGAGATCAAGGAAGTCCAAAGGAGGTGCGGAGAGTGATGATAGCCAGGGGAGCCTGTTTGATATCGTAAAGGCTGGTAAAGGAGCTCTCAGGGTAAGAATGTTGATTGAACAGTACACTGTACAAGGTTGTTAGTTCTGTAAGAGATTATTTAAAACAATTCCAGTGTTTTGGAAATGCATGCATTGCTCTTGCATGCCGATCATGGACACTCTCTTCTTTACATTCTTTTATGTTTAATTAAAAATAAGATGCCTGTGTAACATTCATAATATATTTTTTTGTGGTACAATAACTGCACTGGCTATTTCATTTTAGGCTGTGGTAGATGACTGGATTGAAAGTTACACATCAGACAGAGAAAATGGAATGGTGGATCTTATCCAGTTTTTTGTACAGTGCTGTGGCTGCAAAGGTCTGTTGGAACATTGACCCCCCAAAAGATAATAATACTTGTATGTGACCACATCCTGTAAGTGACCAGTTAGCCAAAACACTTAAATTTTCCCAGTCAATGCCACCTTTTGAAAGCGGTCTTGACCATTTTTTAGGCTGATGGTTTTATAACTTTCAATTGTTCTTAACCAACCTGACATAGTCTTGGTCTAAACTCCATGTTCATTGTATGTACGATGTTAATCAGAGTATGCAAAGAGTGTTCATTGCCAGCATGAAACTATTATTGTAAGATATTGCACTGCATGTGTCCAGACTTCTTCTTGGAAGACCCCTGCATTTTGATTCTCAAGAGCAACCGTTAAATTATTTATGTCATGCATGTATTATCCTTTTTTCTAGGAACTGTCTTACCTACAATGTTGGAGGAGGAAGAAAGTGTGAATGCCGTCCGTCAACTGACAGAACAATTTGATGAGGTCAGAAGGAAAAAACAAACTTTGTAACCTTCAGTCTCAATATCTCTCAACTCCTCTGATAGACTTAAAGTACCGTATATATTTTTTTATTGATGTTTTGTTAACATCGGTGTCCATTGCTTTGCAGGACAGCCATGAATATCCGCTGATTATGACTGGTCAAAATTACAAGAAGTTCAGAGTAAGTGAAGTTTACAGAACTTGTAGGTCTGCTAGACTTTCTGGTAAAGCAAAATACTGTCAAAATTCTTCAACACAGACACCAAAAGGACAAAGTTTGTCATCTTAGAAACAAAGAGAACTATTTGTAATAAAGAGATTTAATGTGCATGATACGGAGGAGCCTGTAATGAAAGGTTCCATTGAAACAAATATACTGAAATCCACAAAAAAAACCTTAGCTATAGTCTCCTTGGTAATCTGACCGTTTGTAGATACATAAGTCAGCATACATGTAGGTATCTTTTACCCACAGTCCAGCAAAACACTTGCAATTGTGCAAGTGTAGAAGTAATAAGACTTAATAAAATCCTATTAAATCATTATTTATCCCATTTATTTCTAGGCAAACTTTACAGAGTTTGTAAATTCACTGATCCAGCAGTGTCGACATAGTATAATATACGATGAATACATGCTGGATACCTTAGTCTCCTGGCTCATCCGATTGTCAGACTCACAAGTCCGTGCCTTCAGGCACACAAGCACTCTAGCGGGTAAGTCTTTAAATCTCTTTTTATTAATTTCAAAATTTAATAGAAACTTAGTATTGCCTTGCAGTCTATGTAAAAGAAAAGTGGCTTTTTCCAAGTTCAAGTTCTAGGTATCAGTTTTGCAGCCTGATGATTAAGAAACTTTAACATCTTTTTGGATCTGGGTGGGGCCAAAATGCTGTCTGTTGGGGGCTAGCGAAGTGCAAGGCTGCCCATATAAATGTGGCCCCCGACTTTAAAATTAAAAGGAAAAAAAAGGAAATAGAACCAAGAAAAACCCTAGCTGTTTGATTCCCCATCTACTTTTTTATTTACCCGGTAACTTAAAATCTTATTGACAACCCTTGGAGTGACCCAATGGCCACTGGGCCAACTTGTTTTCATGCAAAAAAGAAACCATAGTTTTTCATTATCTTCAATTGCATGTTGTTTTAAGGAATGAAACTTGTCTCAGCATTGATTCATGTAGCGAAGAATGTTCATGTAGAGTTGGATAACACCCAGGTATGTAAATTAATAACCATTAAGTTTGTTTTAAGATTTTTCAGGCTGTGGTGTAGAGATGGGCTGTAAAAATTGCTTTGTGGTACATGGAAACTACTAGCAATCCTTCACGTTTTTCTTTCACACTTTTACACATTTTTTTCTCCAGCGCCAATTGGATAGTGAAAGCAGCAAAGTTTCCTCAAAGAAAGCTATGGAAAAAATTGAGATGCTTCAAAATAGAAGACAAGAGGTAAAATTAATAATAACATTATTATGGTGTTACGTCTCTTGTTCCACTGCACAGTTTTTGTAACTGTAAAGGTGTCTGTAGGGGGTCAGAAATATTAACCTTGAACCAGAAATTAGTTTTTTTTCTTTTTTCATTTGACAGCTGAGACAGAACATCAGTGACTTAGAAGACATGATGAATTTTGTGCACCAAGGAATGTTTATTCACAGATACAGGTAAATTTTAAAATACATGTAGTTGCATAAAATCATATTTCTAAACCCTGTAAAAATGTTGTAGATTTTTGACATGCTGTGTATTTCTTTCTTCAGAGATTCCAGACCAGAAATCCGAGCCTTATGTATTGCAGAAATGGGAACATGGATGAAAGATTATAGGTAGCTAATACAGCATCAGAGACTCATGTTATTTATTTTAAGTAGTTGTGATTTGTTCATGCATGAAACAGGAACTCTGAAGAACTCATTAGTTGAAAGTGATTGTGCTTTCCAAATCACATTTCAGGATTTTCATTAAGAATTTTAGTAGCAGGATAAAAGGTGTAACATTACGGGAGAAAATTTTGAAAGAGGCTCCACATTTGAATATAAAAAATAATAGTCATAGGCTACCAAACGTTTTGCGGAGAATTCTGCGTGGTAAAAGCAGAATTCCACGATGCCTAATGAAGACCTGGCATTTGAATTTGGAGAGATGGTTTTTGAGGAGACGGGAAAACTGGTGAACCTGGAGAAAAATCTCCTGGAGCAAGGGAGAGAATGAGCAACAAACTCAACCTACGTTTTGGTATCAATGCCAGGAATTGAACTGTAGCTCTCACCACCACCTTTGCTTCCCTTCGTGTTTTTTTTACCATTTAATGTTCCTTTGGTGTTGTCTCTGTTTTTCAGTTCATACTTCTTGAGTGACAAGTTTTTGAAATACATAGTGTGGAGTCTAAATGATAAGGTACTTGCCTAATATGAGTATATGCTGGATTACAAAGTAAATAATAGTTATAATGGAGCCTCCCTCACAATGTAAAGCAGGATTATTGTATGATCGGCTACACAATGATATACACGTAGTGTTGTTATGCATTTCTTGCCTTAATAGTTCTCCCATTCAGTCTCTATGAAAGCTTCGTTTATTATTGATAAATAAGACAGTACACAAAGCACAAGTTAACGATAATAAGATGCCAAAGCCAGAGGCTTTGTATATTTGTATATTGTATACAGCTAAAACACTAGTTAACCTGCTTACTATACAGTTTATTTTTATCTGGTTCATTATTCAGATTGGGGATGTGAGGCAAAAGGCCCTGCTGTCTCTCAAACATCTCTATGAAGTTGAAGACTTTTTACCTCATCTGGAGTCTCTGACTGAAAGATGCAAGGTGCTCATTACACTAATATAAGTTTTGTTAAGTGCTGACATACATGTAATTATGCCTGGGGCCTGTTGTTTAGAAGGCAAGTGATGCTATCTACAATGTATCTAGTGGATAGCAGTGATTTTGTTACCTCTGCTACCTACGTCCCTGATGCATTAAAGTCCTCAAATACACAAAACAATTTGTGTTATGCATCCTGAAGGATGCAAAGATCGATTGATCGATCTGAAGAAGTTTTTGGTGAATGTCGTGTGTGTGTGATTTCTGTGGCTGTTCTTGTGGCTGTTGTTTAACAGCTCATATTTCTTTTTACCTTTGTTGTGCTTGTCAATAGAAGGAGTATATTTGTATCTCAGTAAACTGTAATACAGAGTTTTGGAGTCTGTCTTCAGATTAACTTTGTGGTTACATAAAGACCCAGGGACTCATTGTTTTTTTTTAACTGGGATGCAATGGTTCTGGACTGGAACTCATAATTTTTCTCAAGAGGCGTCCCAGGACTCACCATTACTAGTCTTTTTGTAACAAAATCGCTGGGATAGTGCAATTGGTTTTCCTAAGACCTATCGGCTGGATAGTGAATTTATGAAGCAGTCTACCACATAGAGAAAAAACATCTGGTACCAGGGTATATAACATAATGTGTCGCTAAAATTGATTGTCTAACAAAAATAATCTGGTTGATTAGCAGGCATCTTATTTGTAGGGGAGAAGGTCACCATTAAACAAAGTATATTGGCCTATTGCGTTAAAATTTGATGCCTCTGGAGGGCTTGGCTTCGAGCATTTATTGATGTGAAACGATATTTGTTGTGTGATTGTAAAAGTACCTTTTTGTACCTTATTTGTACACCTGTAGGAGAGGCTCGTAGCTATGACATTAGACAAGGAAAATGAAGTGGCAGTTGAAGCAGTCCGACTTGTCACATTACTTCTTAAGTGAGTATTTGGAATTCCAAGTGTTAATTTTCCTTAGTGTACAGTTTCAAGTCCAGATCTGTTCAAGGCTAATGTTGGGCTGTGTTCTAGCTATACCTGGTAGCTCCTGACACCTCACTTTTTCTCTTGGGTGACTAGGAAACCTCATTTTTTTGCATACGTGTAGAATCATATGCTGGGAACCTTGGATTTCAAAATTTCAGAACATTGGGCCTGCTAGAATTTTTCTCAGAGTGTTAGCACAGAATTGTAATGGTGATTACTTTTGTCATTGTAGGTATGATAAACTAGATGAGGAAGAGAGCCAACAGGTGGAGTTTCTTGTCTTCTGCACAAGTCGCAATGTTGCAAAAGCTGCTGGAGAATTCCTGAAAGAAAGACTAGTGATGGCGGCAGATGAGGAAGTGAGAAAAGCCAGCAAGTCTAAACGAGGTGAATGTTGAGAAACGGAAATAGAAAGTTACTGGTGAATAGAGGCGAGGGATTATTACGTATTTCTTTAAGTATTTAGGTTGTTTCTTGTTACAGAAGGTTGCAATCACCAAATGTCATAATACAGAAGATTAAAATGACACTGAACAATAACTAGACCACAAAACGAGAGTTAACAAACTTAGTTTCTGCAACACCAAGAAACACCTGGGAACGCAGGACATCATTAAGTAAAACATATACTTAAAAATCTACAAAAATGGTGGTAAGACTGTCAACATTCTCTTAGAACAGGATAATTTCATCTCTTCTTGCAGGATACAGATCTAATTTTATTAAGTTGATGCTGCATGTACATTATACTTAAATGTATTATCTTTTTTGCCAAGTACTTTAAAAGCCCCTTCTTTTGTCATTTGCAGGGAAAAAAGTTGAGCAGGAAGTAAAAGTTGTGCAGTTAAAGAAATTGATTGAGTTTTTCCTTGTCAGTGAGGTAAAAAACATTAACTCCCAGTGCCTTGTTAAAAATGTTTTTCTTAATACTTTCTGCTTTATATGTTGTGACATATCCAGTATTAGTTATACCTTGAAATCCTGAATTAACTGTTACTGTGAATACCACTTGAAAAACTTTGAAAACTATTCAAAGTGTTTTGAGTTTCTGTAAAATACGGAAAAGCAAACAGTATTGTTAACAAGGTCTTATTTGAATGGTCGTATCATAGGTTGTAGTTTTTCAAAGTAGGCCTGTCTTTCTTTACTCAGAGATTTGAGTGTTAAATCATAAGTTAAACTATTTTTTGATTGTTGTTTTTTCAAAGCTGGATTCAATGATTGTTTTTGCATTGACATCTTTTGTTGTTAGATTCATAATCATGCTGCATACCTTGTTGATAGTTTATGGGAAACAATGGACATCCTGAAGGTAACTTAGAATATAATCTGTTTTGCTCTCAAGAGTTCTTTGTTTACTTTGTATAGAAAACTAATCATAGTAATGTCATGTTAAAAGATGTGTGTATGTCCAATCTGCAAAATTTTGCTGTGTTTGTTGTTGTTTGCTTTAAGATTTTTATTTGGCTATTTGTTTGGAATCCTTCTCTTTTTCTTCTGTGGAATAAAGAAAGCCTTTGGGACAGAACAGTCTGGACAATTAAAAAGACAAAAAAAAACATTTGACATAGATCATGAAATAGAATACAACTTTGTGACTCTGCTATTCTGTCTTTTTGTGATTATAACAGGATTGGAAGCTGATGACTGACATTCTTCTTGACAAGGGTGACAAGCAAGGTAATATTATTACCATATAATTTTGCCTTCAGATCATATGATCATTGTTTGATAACAGTCTGGGTTATCATAGATTAAAAGGTAACAGTGAAGCCCAAGAGGGTATTATCAGTACTCAAGGATCAACTTCCTAAATCATCTTCTAATCAAGTATAAATCTTAAACAAAGAGACAGATACATTGGCTCTGGGCAAGGAACATTTGAGAGGTGCTTGTCTTAAGGTGAAACTAAAGCTCAAACTTTTTTTTTCAAGCAGCCAAGTCCTGAGAGTTGTCTATGACTCTAAAATAATAAGTACACTGTAAGAACCAATAATGGTATCCACTGTGGATGAAGTTGATTGTACAGTATAAGCTGCTGAGTTGAAGATTCTCCCCACCCTGAAGTGTTTTGTTTTTGAGCTATTGTGAAAATAGGTTCCAAACTGGGGACCAGTTCGGAAAGGAAATAATGAATTTTTTTGCCGTAGTTAAGTCCAATTTTGGTTCAGGAAGTTTGGAAAAGATAATGGTAGAGCTCTGCTGTCTGCTTGAGTGAAGAAACATCCTGTCCTCTTTCAATCTCAGTCAAATTAATGAATTCCAGGATTTGGTTTCTCTTCACACTACAGTGCTCTGCTTTCTTTCTTAAGGGCTGAATGACAATGAAGAAATGTCTCTGATTGATATCATGGTTTGCGCTTGCAAACAAGAAGCAACTAGACAAGGTCCACCAGGAAGGACAGTGAGGAAAGGAAAGGAGAAGAAATCATCTTTAGATGACAAGAAGAACCTCAGTGCACATTTTATGCAGACACTTCCAAGCTTGTTGAACAAAGTATGTGAAATTGTAAAATGGTACAGTCAACTCTCTCTAAGACGGACACCTTTGGGACCGGCACTAAGTGTCCGTCTTAGAGAGGTGTCCGTCTTATAGAGAGTCAAATAAAGGGAGTAAAGAAAGGCATGGACCAACTCTAAGTGTCCGTTTTACAGAGGTGTCCGTTTATAGAGGTGTCGACTGTATATTGACTGTGTCACCATGACCCTCTTGTGTGACTTTCCAGATCTGGGTAATGCTTTAGATTGGTCAAACCGCAAAGAAATTTGCCTGAACCATTCAGAAGCACTACCCACATAATTATTGGATAGTGACAAGTCATCGGCTTGGAATTTCTGCAGTCATTCCCCAGATTTTATTTTGCAGTGAAGCTACATGTAGCGACAGGGTTATGAAATCTCGGCTATTTTATCAGCCTAGGTCCTGAACAGAGCAGTGGTTTTTGACAGTGACAGGTTTTTCGTCCCTTTGGGTGGAAATTCACCATTATTTAAATAAATGTGGTTCCCTCTCAGATTTTCTGCCATGGTGGAAAAAAAAACAATTTTTTTTTTTACAGTTTAAAATTTTATGGGTACCTTACCCAGGCTTATCACACTCAGAAACTTAAGTGTTAAGAGGAATGTTCCTTTTGTTTCAGTTTGGAACAGATGTCGAAAACGTTGCAAACTTAGTTTCAGTTCCACAGTACTTTGATCTGGAGGAGTATGGACAAAGACGACTTGGAAAGGTACACAAATTTTTTTTAAGTTGACTTTCATCTTTTCCGTTCTTTCCTGATACTTCAAGCACATAATTGACTAACTTTTATGCTTTTGTTTCTAGCATCTGGATGAACTGCTAGTTCAGCTGAGTGATATTGTTGAGAAGCACTCTAATGCAGATGTAAGTCTCAATGTGAAAATTTGAACAAGCGACTGCTCATTTCTTGTCAATCCAGGGAGCAAAGAAAGGCGGTTTTACTGCTTGCCCTTGCCCTTCAGGCAAGCCATAGCTAGCATGTACAATGTACTAGCCTGAAAAAAGTTTTGACACACAGCATTAATGATTAATTAATTGTTATTTATTGGTTATTCCATTACCAGCCTTATAAATTATTCGTTGTAGCAAATTAATGTGGTAATTTCACTTCTTCAGATCAGATTAAAAAACAGCTTTCGATTCACATGAATTAATTACGAATTTAAACAATTATTTGTTTGCACTTGCCCGTCAGGCAAGGTGAGAAAAGAATTGACTAGCCCAATCGCAAAGTCCACTAGCTATTGTAAACGACTTTCTTTGCATGCTACAAGAAGTGACAAGAAGAGTTTAAGAATCCCTTATAATTATTAATTTGTCTTTTAGGTCCTGGATGAATGTGGAAAAACTTTCAAAACACTTATTGATAATGACTACACTTTGGCATCTACAGCAGTAAGTAGAGATGCCTTATTTTTGTGTTGCCGAGCATATTTAAGTCTTACAGATAATCCTTTCAGTTTTTGTAATTACTATCTTTTTTTTACCTTGTAGGATGTAGCCAAAAACAAACTCATTGACTCCTTTGTTGCAAAGTTCAAAGAGAATCTGAAGGAAGGATTAGAGGCAGTATGTGTTTGTTCGGTTTCCTTGTGATTTTTGTCACTTAGTAAACTTTGAAACAATGCTTTTTTGCATGACATGTAGTCTTGAAAAGTCTATGAAAAATCAAGATTTTTTGGGAGGTCGTAAATTGTTTGTAACTTAGTTGAATTTAATCTCAAGAATGAATAATTAATTTTGTGTACCTTGTATCTTAATATTATTTGTCCAGTTTTGGCCGATTTACGAGTACACTGTGGTGCACAAACAGCACTGCAGTTATTTGGAAATGCAGCACAGAAGGCAGTGTTTATATCAGTATACTTACCATATTCTGGACACTATTAATTTAGCAATTTAATTTAAAGTTTCGACCCCAAGACTTACCTTACCTTTGTTGTCATAAGGATCATGTGGAATAGGCAGATTATTCTTCTTGTAGTTGCTGGCTGCGGTTGGGTCTTAAGGGCTTAGCCAGTTGTTTCTTGTGGTTTTTCAAAGCTCTTGCACATGCCATATTCGACTTTTATTATTGATCTATGCTGTTGGTTCTTCGAACAATTTTTTAGTAGGAAAATGGAGTTTAAAACATGTATGTTCCCTGAAAATTTCTTACAAAAATTAAGTATTTCTCAAAGAGTTTACATTCTGTGGAAAGGCATCATTTGAAGTAAGTTGATCATGTTTTTATTATAGGATGATCAAGATGACGAAGATCAAGAGAGATACAACCTTCATGTCAACCTTGCAAGAATAGCGTCATTCTACAAGTAAGTTCACCACCATGTACAGTTTAGCATAATCATTCTGCAGGATTAATGCGAGGTCAATAAGCACTTTAAGAAGCAAGGATTCGTACAGTCTGTAAGTGCGCCTCCTTTTGTGTGGGAGGTTCAGAGTTCGATTTCCAGGTGTGACCTTAAATCCTTGTTTCAACTGTCTATTTTTCTTTGTGTATAGCTTTAAATAGCTTTGAATACTGTAAAATAAAGCATTGAGGGAGGGGTGGGTACATGGGGTGGAAGGGTGGGGGTCAAGTGAGTGCACCCTTGGTCACAGGTTTGTCAGTTTTAGTGGTGTTACAAGTTACCAACATATTAGTAAGTTTTAAAGTTATACACCAAAGGCACAAATCTGAATTATTTTTGTGGACTGTAGTGTTATTATCATGGCAGATAGTGTCATTAAGAATTAACAAGTGAGGATTACTGGAAAATAGTGTTAAAAAATTGCATGGTGGTTGAGGAAAAGTGCGGTCAATATTCTACAATGTCTAGTTTTGTTTTGAATGTGTTTTCAGGTCACACAATCTAAATAAGTGGGATCTTTATGATGATCTGTCCTACATCATCAACTACTCTGCAAATAACAATGTACCAGACGAGGTAACTTCCTTACAAATAACAAAGGGATGGTTACACTATCCTGCTTGTGTGCTGACTATAAAGGAGTGCAGAGGCTTAGTTAATGTGTCCTATGGGACAGGTCTTGCATTGTGTACATATGTGCATGAGGCATTTCCCAAAACAAAATAATCTGGCAAGGTCTGAACTCTATCCTGGGGAAAGGGTTACTCCCTAAATTATATAATAACAGCCTATACTCAGGGGCACCCAAAGTCAATTTTCGGAAAATATCTGTTCGGAAGACGATTTGAGATCTAGAATTTTCGGAACATCTGTTGGAAAATTTCTTGCTTGCCTGCCTTCCTAGGATTTTCGAACATCTAAAAAATGGTATAATTGCCCATTTTTAACGGATTTTTACCCTAAAAAGGACATCTAGAATTTTCGGGAGCCTTTTTTCTTGCTCAAATTTTCGAAACGGTGAGTTTTGATCCCTATAATTTTCGGATCACTAGACTTTCAGCTAGAAAATCCGAACAGATGAAAAATTTTTAGGGGATGAAAATATGCCTATATCTACTAAAATACGTTTAACAATGCTCTTTTTAAGTGGTTTTTTAACTATATTCTCGTTGGGTGCCCCTGTATACTGGGAGGCTCCGCCTGAAATGGGTACCTTTTTTAGCCTTCAGGTATATGAAAGGGTAGGGAAATCTGTCATTTCATTATGTAAAATAGGCCCAAAAGGGCTGATGATGCACTTTATGCAGGGTACAAAGAAACTCATTTTTACAACTTGCCATTCGGGCAAGCTGAAGCTAGCATTTACTAGCCCAGACTTCATTTCAACTAGCCCCAAAAGCTTTTTGATGAGCAGAATTGGTTTCACAGTTCTTCTGTTATTCGAATTCCTGAAAAAACATCACTTGCCTGTTGGGCAAGTTAAAAACAGAATTCACTAGCCTGATAGCAAAATCCACTAGGCCCGGGCTATCGGACACAACTTTCTTTGCACGCTGTTTATGGCTGTGAAAAAGTCAAACAATCCTTCTGGTTTTGTGATTTATTCAGGTTAAAAACAGTGCTGCATTTACAGCAGTTAAGAAGGGGGAGCCTTTTCTGTGAAAAATGGTATAAGGGTAAGGGGTTGGGCCTCGAGGCAGAGTCTTCCTGTATAAAACTTTTGTTGAGTACTATCAACTATCACAGTGACATTTTGAAATTACTAGGCAATGTCCTCTTGTAACAGCGTAAAGGTATGTTGTAACAGCTGACGTTCTGGTGCTCTGCTTTTATAGATTCTGGAACTAACCTTTACAAGTGTACAGATGCTGCTTGTTTGGAGCTTAAAAGAAATTGACGTCAACCAGCCTGATAAGGTATCGCCATAGAGCCACAGCATCTGGTACCCTGTACACAGGTGTTTTTTTTGTCTTTCTGTTAGAAAATCAATGAGCAGGCGAGCGAAGCGAGTGCTGAGCGCGTATCTCCACTGAATTTATTCGGTGAGACGGTGCCGGCTACTGGCCACTCTAGGGGTGGTTCCCGCTTCCAGGGTTGCCATGGATACCTCCTCTCTGTTTATTGCATTTGGCCCCCTACTAACCTTTAAGGCACCTGCTCCCAAGCTCATCATTAGCAATGAGTTTAACGTGCTTATGCTTGTAAATTTTACTAAATAAAGTGGAAGCAATGTATAGAGGGTCATGTGTAAATGTAAAAGTTGAACCTCGCTCAACTTTTGCATTTGCGCGGGGTCTTTCATGCATCACCTCTGTTTTATTGACGCATGTGAAATTGATGCTAGAGTTATCTCCATACATTTCCTTAAAGAACTAGTTGAGAGAATCTGTTAAAAGATCGAAGCATTTTCCGTTAAGTTGTCATTTTATTTATCCTTTTCTTTTGATTTGTAGTGGTAAAAATCAAGGAAAATATCTGTTTGGAAACTATATTGACACGCATTTTTGCCTTGTTATAGCATGACATGAGAACTCTGAAAAGACGCGTGAGTCAGTTCATTCCTCAGTGTGATGAGCTCATACAGTTTAGTTCTCCATCCGTGCAGAGAGTGGTAAGAAAAATTACTGGAAAACAAAAAAATACCATGTTAAAATACTACTTAGAGGGTTTGATATTATACCATACTATATACTAGAAATACGTGTATCGCAGAACGTCGCGAAGCTCCGGTGGAGGGGCATAAAATGTCAGGGATGGAGGGGAAGAGAATTGGAGTAAATGTACAGGTGTAATATAGTAAAAGAAAATGGGTGTGAGAGTGAATAACTGCAGGCGAATGAGGCAAACACATGCTATCCTTAATGTGTAATATGTGATATTTGTCCTGTATATACTCTTCTGCAGGCTCAAAACTTGGAGAACAACGTTATACTTTGCTATAAGTGATTACTAAAAGCGATATTTGCAGGGCAAAAAGACACAATGCCATATTTCTGGCTGTAGGTGGTTATGATTTTGAAATCCTTCACGGCTTGCAAAAATTTGACGAAACTCCAGGCAAATTCTATTGTAATTTTGTGGAAAACATCTTTGTTTTGAATTGTTGCTGCTCCCAGTCTCTGTTCCTTTCTTTATTCATTTAAATATTTCATTTTATTTTATTCTATTTTCAGGCTTTTAACTGCCTATGTGATTTGCTGATTATTTTTGCAAAACAACTGAGGAACAGTGGTATGCATTTGAAATTTTTATTGTAAATGTAAAAGTTAAAGGGATGATATTGATATAGGACGTTTATTTCAGCCCAGACGCCTTTCAAATAATAAAACTACAAAAAAATGTCTTTAAACCTCCAGACTGGTATTTCGTTTCATTAGTGTTTCATTCATTCCTTACCGGATTGCCATTTACGGTTGATATTCTATGAGGACCAGTGATTTTGCTTGGCCATAAGAAAATAAGATGTGGAAATTTAGTAAAACTGAAAAAGGTTGTCTACATGCGAAAAGATTTTCGCACAACTATCTTAGCCACGTCTGAGAAAATTTTCATAGTTGATTAAAACACCCCATTAAAAATGTTGCCATGTTGAAGTATAGCTCCCTAGTTGTTTTGGGGTTTGGTTTGGGTTGTGAAGGGTGATAGTGAGGTACTTTTGCGCCTCAAGTTTGTATTTATAAAAGCTATTGCAGCAATATCTCTTGCGTTTGTACTACTGTAAGACTCTGTACCCAGCTGTTTACACATATCCTACACTGTGTGGTTGGCTTTAGTGTTCTTTTGCTTACCGGTCGTTCCGATACAAGTTGATTTAGTCGAGGGGTGAATATAAATTTCGTGTAGTTGGCTTATAGAACGAGGAATATTCAAGCCACATGTTTTTCTTGTTCACGCGCTTACTAGAAAAAAAATTGGTGTGCAGTTTCACTGCTTAAGTTCGTATCAAAGCGACGTTTAACGGATTTCGTGTGGTTGTATTTCAGCACCTCTGTTGGCCCCTCTGGTGCATGAAGCTGATCACAGCACACAAGTGCGACTCAGAGATTATGTTATCGGTCATATATTTGTAGACCTAGATGAGGAAGAGCCAGAAGATGAGGACGGTAAATAATTCTTCTGATTTTCTTTAGTGTTAAAACAATGCTCAGTGTTTGGTTCGAGTCAGTTATGCATGCGTAAGAACTTGCATGACAGAAACATATGCAATGCTCGTTGTCTTAGTGCATTATTGCAGTTATCGAAGCGTGATCAAAAGGTGTAAGAAATACGAGAAAATAAGGCTTATGTTTATTGTTGCATTACAATTGCAAATTTTGACAAAAATGTCAGGTGCATACACACTTTCGGCACATTTCTTTGCCGTCACTGCTCGACTAGGACGTGAAATTCCCTTATGCGACTTTCATGTAGGACCTATAAAACTGTGCTGCTCGCAGGCTACTATAAAACAGACGATGAGGAATTTTTCTCTTTAGTTCCAGGGAAATTCACCTACATTTGAGATTTTAATCGAATTGGAATAATGGCGACTTTTAATAGTAACATTTTCGCTGCTTTTATAGTCGTTGTTACTGAAGCCCCCTATTACTGAAAGACGACACTGATCATGTTAATTTTTTGTTGATGTACTAATAATTTTCTTTTGTATTCGCAGAGGATCAAACTGATGCCAGTGCGTTGGAACTTAGTAAAAAGAGGACTTGCCTTGCTGGATTCTGTAAACTCATCGCTTACAATGTGTTTGATATGAAACTGGTCGCCCCTGTGTTTTCTTATCTTATCAAGGTTTGGGAAAGTTTTGTTCATTCTAAACAATTAGTGAAGTAAATATTTGTTTGGCCTTATGAAGACAGTTGCGTATTACGGCACAGAGAGACATGAAGATAATGGTAATGATAATGGTGACGATGATGATAGTAATGATGATGATGTTAACGATGACGTGAAAGTTGATGATGATGACGGTGTGGGTGATGTTGATGATACTGATGATGATGTTGATGATGGTGATGATGATGATGATGATACTGATGATGATGATGATGATGATGATGATGATGATGTGATGATGATGATGATGATGTTGATGATACTGATGATGATGATGATGATGATGATGATGATGATTGATGATGATGATGGTGATGATGATGATGATGATGATGATGATGATGATGATGATGATGATGATGATATAGGTGGAAATTAGATACTTAGGGTTCTTAGATGAGGAGAAAGTTTTCTTCATAGTTCACCTCTGCTTCACGCTGAGTAAGCATTAAAAAATGCAGCCAGAAGTCCCGGAAGCGACCATACAAAATTCCAAAATTTATTGTTGCCTACAAGATTTCGCAACCATACGTCTTTGACGGGGATAACTAATTTTGGTTAGGTGGTTGACTGTATTTACTTCGTTATTAAGTATAGCTGAAAATACGCTGTTTCTAATTTTCTTTTCTTTTTCTAAAGGCGTACAGTAATTTTGGGGATATAATCCGCTACACGATGAACAAATGTCGAGAGATTGACCACAAAGCATTTGCCAAATCACTGTTGTTAAGCTTGCAGCAAGAGTTTGAGAAGCTCCTCGATGACAACAATGGTGAAGCAGACACAAACTCCAAAGAGTTTGCAGCAATCAAGGTTAGTTAAAATAGTGTTAATTGAGTGTGGCTGCAAGTTGCAACGGGTTTATATTGTCACGTAATTTGATTGGCTGAAAATCTCGTGCCTTTCGGAGCCAATCTGGAGTAAAACCAAAATCAGTCGTGTCTTGAGCTGGTCACGTGCCACTCCAAGCCTTTTGCTCCTGCTACACGTGTTTGCTTTGGGCTCAGATATGTTTCATCTCGTTCTACTCCGTGCTACACTTTTAGAACTAATCAGAGCGAATCTTACCCTGGTCGTGTGCTTTTTACTGCACTTTTACTCGCTACATACATTCGCTTTTGAATTCTAAATGGTTTAGCAGATGTAATATTTTTACTTTCATTGACCATAGCTGATTTAGTTTATGCCAGTCAAGCAAAACCGTCGTTACATTAAGAAGTAGTTATTTTACTGCTTCACTTTGAGAAGTGAAACCTAAAAGTGAAGGTCTATTAAAATGATTTTATGAGGCTAGCTAGTGTGCAGTGTTATCGAAGTTTTCTGAGGTTATACACTATTTGGTTTATTTGCTTTGCTTGTTTTTGCAGGATCTTGCCCGTAGATTTGCTCTCTCAGTTGGTGTTGACACTGCGAAATCACAAGCACGAGAATGTGTTGTAACCTTACATCGGTTGGTATTTTAGTAACCAGATAATGTTGAGTAGCTTCTATTATAATACTTTTACCTTGTACAGCATAATAAACAGTACCACAGGAAAGTACTGCTCAGTAGCTTTCATTTGAATGGTCACACTATAGGATTTCATCCACAGACTCAAAAGTTAGAACCACCTTGTACAGCATAATAAACAGTACCACAGGAAAGTACTGCTCAGTAGCTTTCATTTGAATGGTCACACTTTAGGATTTTATCCACAGACTCAAAAGTTAGAACCACCTTGTACAGCATAATAAACAGTACCACAGGAAAGTACTGCTCAGTAGCTTTCATTTGAATGGTCACACTTTAGGATTTCATCCACAGACTCAAAAGTTAGAACCACCTTGTACAGCATAATAAACAGTACCACAGGAAAGTACTGCTCAGTAGCTTTCATTTGAATGGTCACACTTTAGGATTTCATCCACAGACGCAAAAGTTAGAACCACCTTGTACAGCATGATAAAAAGTACCACAGGAAAGTACTGCTCTGTAGCTTTCATGTGAATGATAGCGCTCTGAAATTTCGTCCAAAGACTCAAAAGTTATAACCACCTCGTAAAGCAGTACTACAGATGGAGGTTGGCCATTTATTAACTGACATCCTTTTCTCGCCATATTTTGTAGAGAAGGAATCATGTACAGTCTTAGGAACGGAGACACTTCAGTTCAAAAGGAGAAGCAAGACGACGAACCACCAACCAACCTACAGTTCTTAGAGGTGTTGAACGAATTTACTTTCAAACTCATAACTCAGGACAAGTTTGGTAACTCGGGAGTGTAAGTATTGTTCTTTATCATTCTCACATTGTACTGCGGCTCAGTTATAGGTAAGACGAGGACGAATGCGAGACTTTCTCACTCCTAAGTAGTGCGCAGGCGTGAACCAGCGTCATTTTGGCGGGAAAACGTGAGAACTGTCGTCATTCTACCACGGGTTTTAGCGAAAATGTTGCAGTGGTGGAAACAAGTTATCAAAGGTTTTTTTAACTTTCATCATTTTGAGTTCGGAATAGGGCTTAACCTCCGTCAATGAAAAAAATCATGCTATTTGTTAATGACAGAACAGAGGCAGCACAATTTCCTCAGTTTTTTCGAATCCCGAGTGCTGGCCAGGCCGTGTATCGAACCCATGCCTACCGTTCATAAACCTGGTACTTAAGCGACAGAGCTCTTTTCTCTATATGGGCTTTACTTAGGAAATGTTTTGATTGCAGTTTGTCCTTCCTTGATGAACATGCCAAGGGGTTGATGCAAAACAAGGGAGGACAGTGGAGTCCATTGATATCTTACAGAACCGGCCTGGCTGGACAGGAAGATGAAGAAGAAGGTATTGTCAAGTAGTAATATGAGCGGCAGGGTACGAACTGGGTACGTTACAGAACGAGAGAGAATCAACTCTCCGACCGCATCACCAAATTCACTCTGCATTATTTTATTACCTTTAAAATCCCTAATCCTTAGCCCTAATTCAAGACTTAAAAAGTCCCTTGCAGGACAAGTAGCTTATGTATAGAGAGCAGTCCTCCACGTTTGGAGCGGTGCGTTAAGCCAAGAAAATATATCCAAACTTACCGTTTACATTTTTAAAATCTGAACAAAAAATACTCATTTAATTAAACCTTGATAGATCTGGAAGTCCCCCTGTTAAGTATTATGTCCGCTTCCCTCTGCCCTCGTCATTCTGAACAACTGAAGTCAATGTCGAAATCCTTATCCAACCACCCCTCTCCCCCCAGCACATCTTTAACCCCACTCCACTCCCCCGAAATTACTCAGTTTGTTACTGGATCAATTATTATGGCATCTGACATTTCTTTTTCTGTAGGTCAACAGAAAGGAAGTCGGGCAAAGAGAAAACTGCCGATGGAAGGTACACTCCTTTAGTTCAGCGATTATTAGTGCGATTCCACGCTAGTTCCAGAAACGAAAAAGTAGAACCACCTTGTACAGCATAGTAAACATTACCACAGGAAAGTCCTGCTCAGTAGCTTTTATTTGACTGGCCACACTTTGTGTTCAATGAAGGACGTCTGGAGCTCCTGAGGACGTCTAAAGCTTAAGTCTTGCCGACAGAGGTGGATAAAGCCATTTAATTTAGCAAAAAAATTGACTGTTGAAAAAAGCCTTGTGCAGTGTTTAAAAAAAATTAGGTCTCGTCAGTCGGTGTTTATCTCTTTTTTTTGTGCTTACTGTTTTCAGGCAATGAGAGCAAGGAAGGAGAATGGCTGAGCAAACAGGCCAAGAAACCAAAAAAGGCACGAGGACGGCCTCCAAAATCAACTAAGACGACTGCTCAACAAACCGAACCACCTACACCAAAACCTGTTAAACCTGTTCAACAGGAGCAACCTGCTGCTGACGATGACGATGATGACATGTCCTCGGGTTCAGGGGAGTGGACTCAGGAGGAGCAGGCGCCGCTATCTTCTGTTAAGAAAACGAGTCGCAAGGAGGGAGGGGAGAGTAGTGAGCAGAAACGGGAGCAGCAGAAGAGAAAACGGGACGAGGCGTTGCAATCGGACGAGGAGAGAGAAGATGAGAAAGAGGATGATGATGATGATGATCGGGATTTTGAAAGGTGACGAAGTCTGTTACCGTAAAATTCCGAAAATAAGCCCCTCCAAATATAAGCCCCCCAAAATTGCCTCTGAGATGCAACTATAAGGGATAAATCGATTTTGAAAGCAAATTTCCTTCCCCCTTTGAAAATTATTTACATGAGATGCGTTATGCGTTTGGAAATGTATATCTTCTCTTCACTTTAAAGTATGAAAACATCGTGTTTAGTTGTTTATTCGCTCCAAAGAATGAAGAAGAGCCGGCATATTCTAACTTTGATTGTCCAAAGTGTTCAGGCAGTGTTCAAAATTATGCGTATATGTTCGAAAACGTCTCAAAAATAGGTAATCAGTGTTTCTATATAACCTCAACATAATATGTGGCTGTTGGAAAGTGTTAGTTCTTGAATTCATGAGTACTTCTTAAAAACGGCCCATGAAAAATATCAACCCTATAGGTATATTCACACTATACGCCATAGGTTGTCTTGGCGGCCACGAAAAGCCATCGGGTATTGTGTGAACAGCAAGGGCCCAAGACGACACAAGTCTTTCACACACATCGAACATCGTGCGGCGGCGGTTGGCCGAGAGGGTTTGGTGAACTAAATTCCAGTCCTCACTCCTGAATATTTGCTCCCGTCTCAGTGGGTTCCAGTCCTCACTCCTACTTATTTACTTCCGTGACGGGCCGAATAGGTGTTCACTGCACCAAAGTATGGCTCAAAACCTATCCGATATGTGACGCTCCACTTTCGAGATCGGCCGGCCCGGCGCAGCTTCTGCCCGTCACAGAAATCGCGCGGCCACAACCGTTCTTGTGTGTGAACAGAAGCCCTTTCTGGCATGATTTTGGCGGTGGCGCAAAATCTATCCAGTATAGTCCAGTGGCGGATCCCGGGGAGGGGCCCACGAGGGCCGCCCCCTTATTTTTATCTGGTATCATTTTGGTGGTGGCGCAAAATCTATCCGACATAGTGTGATTCTGAACACAGCCGAAATAATTGATCAGCTTTTGACTTAGCCCTAGTTGTGCACACTTCGCTCATTGTTACCGTTTTGTAGTTGAATTGACTTCCTTCTTTTTTCGCTTCAGCCTTCCCGCGTCGTCACAAAGATCATGGTTATCCAGTCAAAAGGCACAGCAGCGCAGCAAAAAGCCGCGGATAAGTTACAGTAAAAAGGAGACATTAGCAGTAGGGTGGGTACTATGTTACACACACAGACTAGCCGGAGAAGACAGCTGACATTTTGCGACGCCTTCATTGGTTTCCCCGCGAAATGACTTCTGAGAAACGAGCGGAGAAATTCCATACTGATGACGTGTCACTACTCAGATCTGGCTAGTGCTTCGGATTGGTTGAGGCAATTGTACCTCGGGGCGCAGTACCACCAGATCGGGGTGATGACACTTCATCAGCGTGGAATTTCTGCGCTTGATCCTCAGGCGGCAGTTCGCGAGGGAACCAGTATTGGGCGTGTCAAAATGTCAGCTGTTTTGTTCAGGCTACATGAAAACGAATGTCGAAATTTTGAGGTCCTACTGACATCAAAATCTTTGAATTTTTTTTTTTGCACTTCTCCCTACGAGGTTGATTACGGGTACGAGCTTTGGGATTTCAGAGCTTTGTAAACTACAAAAGGTTTTTTGGCTCCACTTTCTTTCTCTTTTCTAAAGTGGGGAATTGTAATGATTATCTGCAGACGAGCAAGCCTGGAAGATATCGATGACGAAGAGGACATAGAAGAGTATGAAAGCGAAGAGGACGCAGATGGAGAAAAAGAGGTTTGTAAAATTTGTTTTCGTCTCATGCCCCTTAATTGCTGCGATTACTTGCTAATATAAAACCTTCTAAGTGCAATCCTTTTCTTTTCCTTATTTCATGCGTGTTCTTAGAAGACTCCAATCCGTGTTAGACGCGAGAAGACAGAACTACCTGAAACATTTGGCGACTCACAAGAAGAAAAGAACACGGTAAGAACCGACCTTCCTTCGAGATCTTCCGAACTCGTTCGGTACATGATCGGAAACGTTTGTTAGTGTTACCCTTTTTTTTCCGGACGTGACGTCTTTAGATTCCAATTTCCTATTGACTAAATGTGCGGGGTATGTCACAGATGGGAAGTTTCCGATACTCCTCCGAGACCTTCCGAACCGTTCGGAAAATGTTCGGAAACGTTTGCACAAACGTGGCAATGTCCAGAGAACCTTCAACGATGCTCGAAAAATGTTCGAAGAAAAAAAAGTGGTAAACCTGATACTGAGTTGCTCGAAAACATTGCACCGCATTTTATTATTTTCTCGAACAGGAGCCGCCCTTAAACTAGCGCCGTATTTGGCACGAAAATGTATTAATTCCGTCGGCCTGAGTACAATCAAAAGCAAGGCGTTTCTGTTAGTTACTCAAGTAAACAGTAGCGGTAACTCAAAAAAATCTGTGTCGCGTCGTAAATGCGGTATGTACTATCAGCCATGGACTATCCTGTTTTAATATAACATTCATGGAATGCTATGTTTTCTTTCCAGGAGGACGACTCGCCCCTTGATACCGCCTTCTGATGCCTTTTACACTGACGCGTTATTGTTGAAGCCTTCTATTTGTACAGTTTTAATATTTAACTAAACCCAACCAAATTTTTCCATTTTATTGTAACCGAAACATTGACTTTCCCCTAGTATTCTTATATGGAATTTAATTTGTTGAACTTAAAAAGCTGTTTTCGTTTTGTCCTTTAAATAATCGGAATTAAAGTTTTAAAGTTTATGATTACGTCTTCTTTTTTGTGAGAACGTCACAACTCGTAGTCAGTCTTTTTTGCTTCTCACAAGTGAGTATCACAGTCGTGCACAGAACGCACACCTGTCTGTCGTATCCCTTTGTCTCTCTTTTTATACCGGCCAAGATATATCGTTTAACATACTCTAGATGGCAAACAAGACGTTCTTGACTGTAAAAGGTGTAAAAGCTTCTTAATGTTCTGTTTCTCGATGTTCTAGTTTAAAAAGGAGGCTTTTTAGAGTACAAAAATGGAATTTTAACAGACGAAAAATTAAATATTTTTCCAAAGGGGTTATGCCATGAGTTTGTTCAAAAACTGCAAATTTCTTTCAAGTTTGTTTTTCTTTCAGTTAGCCTTAAACGTTATGTTTTTTGACGTTCTACTATGATAAGAAGGATATTACGACTACTAACATGAAGTTTTCACTAAAAAACTATAAAAACATCCAGTTAAAAAAGTCGAAAAAATGGGATTTTTCCAAAGGATTTTTGTCAAAAATTGGCGATTTTTCCATCTTTTTATTTTAGGCAAAATTGGCCAGGAAAATGTGTTTTACGATATTCTTGAAAGAAAAAACGCCTTTCTAGACTATAAAAACATCAAGCTAAAAAAGTGGAAAAATTGAGATTTTTCCTACAGGAAAAATTGGGATTTTTTCAAAGGGGTTAGTCGATGATTTTTGTCCAAAAAATGGCAATTTTTCCATCTTTTTATTTTAGGCAAAATGGACCAGGAAAAGGTTTTTTACGATATTCTTGATAAAAAAAACGCCTTTCTAGACTATAAAAACATCAAGTTTAAAAAGTCGAAAAATTGGGATTTTTCCAAAGGGGTTAGTCGATCATTTTTGTAAAAAAATAAGCAGTTTTTCCAATTTTGTATTTTAGGAAAAATAGGTTCAGAAAATGTGTTTTACGATATTCTTCATATAAAAAACGCCTTTCTAGTCTATCAAGTTAAAAATAAAAAAGTTAACATCAAGTTAAAAAAGTCGAAAAATTAAGATTCTTCCAAAGGGGTTAGTCGATGATTTTTGAAAAAAATTGGCAATTTTTCCATCTCTTTATTTTAGGCAAAATAGGCAAGAAAAAGGTTTTTTACGATATTCTTGATAAAAAAACGCCTTTCTAGACTATAAAAACATCAAGTTTAAAAAGTCGAAAAATTGGGATTTTTCCAAAGGGGTTAGTCGATCATTTTTGTAAAAAAATAAGCAGTTTTTCCAATTTTGTATTTTAGGAAAAATAGGTTCAGAAAATGTGTTTTACGATATTCTTCATATAAAAAACGCCTTTCTAGTCTATCAAATTAAAAAAAAAAAAGTTAACATCAAGTTAAAAAAGTCGAAAAATTAAGATTCTTCCAAAGGGGTTAGTCGATGATTTTTGAAAAAAATTGGCAATTTTTCCATCTCTTTATTTTAGGCAAAATAGGCAAGGAAAAGGTGTTTTACGATATTCTTGATAAAAAAAAGCCTTTCAAGACTATAAAAATATCAAGTTGAAAAAGTAGAACAATTGAAATTTTTCCAAAGGGGTTAGTCGATGATTTTTTTCAACAATTGGCAATTTTTCCATCTCTTTATTTTAGGCAAAATAGGCCAGGAAAAGGTGTTTTGCGATATTCTTGATAAAAAAAACGCCTTTCTAGACTATAAAAAAATAAAGTTAAAAAAGTCGAACAATTGGGATTTTTCCAAAGGTGTTAGTCCATGATTTTTGTCCGAAAATTGGCAAATTTTCAATCTCTTTTTATTTGGTCCAAAAATTACCATTTTTCCAACTTTTGTTTTTAGGCAATATAGGCCAGGAAAATGTCTTTTACGATATTCTAGAACGAAAAAACGCCTTTCCAAGCTATAAAAACAAAACGTTCGAAAAGTCGAAAAATTGACATTTTTCCCAAGGGGTTAAGCCATGGTTTTGGTCCAAAAATTACCATTTTTCCAACTTTTGTTTTTAGGCAATATAGGCCAGGAAAATGTCTTTTACGATATTCTAGAACGAAAAAACGCCTTTCCAAGCTATAAAAACAAAACGTTCGAAAAGTCGAAAAATTGACATTTTTCCCAAGGGGTTAACCCATGGTTTTGGTCCAAAAATTACCATTTTTCCAACTTTTCTTTTTAGGCAATATAGGCCAGGAAAATGTCTTTTACGATATTCTAGAACGAAAAAACGCCTTTCCAAGCTATAAAAACAAAACGTTCAAAAAGTCGAAAAATTGACATTTTTCCCAAGGGGTTAACCCATGTTTTTGGTTCAAAAATGGCCATTTTTCCAACTTTTCTTTATTGGAAATATAGGCCAGGAAAATGTCTTTTACGATATTCTATAACGAAAAAACGCCTTTCTAAGCTATAAAAACAAGACCTTCAAAAAGTCCAAAAATTGACACTTTTCCAAAGGGGTTAACCCATGGTTTTGGTCCAAAAATGGCCATTTTTCCAACTTTCCGTTTTAGGCAATATACGCCAGCAAAATGTCTTTTACGACATTCTAGAACGAAAAAAAAACCCTTTCTAGGCTATAAACACGAGAACTTCAAAAAGTCCAAAAATTGACACTTTTCCAAAGGGGTTAACCCATGGTTTTGGTCCAAAAATGGCCATTTTTCCAACTTTTCTTTTTAGGCAATATGGGCCGGCAAAATGTCTTTTACGATATTCTAGAACGAAAAAACGCCTTTCTAGGCTATAAAAACAAGAACTTCAAAAAGTTGCAAAATTCACATTATTCCAAAGGGGTTAGCCCATGGTTTTGGTCCAAAAATTACCATTTTTCCAACTTTTCTTTTTAGGCAATATAGGCCAGGAAAATGTCTTTTACGATATTCTAGAACAAAAAAACGCCTTTCTAAGCTATAAAAACAAGAACTTCAAAAAGTCCAAAAATTGACACTTTTCCAAAGGGGTTAACCCATGGTTTTGGTCCAAAAATGGCCATTTTTCCAACTTTTCTTTTTAGGCAATATAGGCCAGGAAAATGTCTTTTACGATATTCTAGAACGAAAAAACGGTTTTTTAAGCTATAAAAACAAAAAGATCGAAAAGTCGAAAAATTGACATTTTTCCCAAGGGGTTAACCCATGGTTTTGGTGAAAAATGGCTATTTTTCCAACATTTCTTTTTAGGCACTATAGGCCAGGAAAATGTCTTTTACGATATTCTAGAACGAAAAAACGACTTTCTAAGCTATCAAAAAGAAAAGTCGAAACATTGACATATTTCGAAAGGGGTTAACCAATGGTTTTGGTCCAAAAATGGCCATTTTTCCAACTTTTCTTTTTAGGCAATATAGGCCAGGAAAATGTCTTTAACGATATTCTAGAACGAAAAAACTCCTTTCTAGGCTATAAAAACAAGAAATTCAAAAGGTCGAAAAATTGACATTTTTCCAAAGGGGTTAATCTAATGTTCTGGTCCAAAAACGGCCATTTTTCCTAACTTTTCTTTTTAGGCAATATAGGCCAGGAAAAGGTCTTTTACGATATTCTAGAACGGAAAAACGCCTTTCTTAGCTATAAAAACAAAATGTTTACACAGTCAAAAAATTGAAATTTTTCCAACTTTTCTTTTTAGGCAATATAGGCCAGGAAAATGTCTTTTACGATATTCTAGAACAAAAAAACGCCTTTCTAAGCTATAAAAACAAGAACTTCAAAAAGTCCAAAAATTGACACTTTTCCAAAGGGGTTAACCCATGGTTTTGGTCCAAAAATGGCCATTTTTCCAACTTTTCTTTTTAGGCAATATAGGCCAGGAAAATGTCTTTTACGATATTCTAGAACGAAAAAACGCCTTTCCAAGCTATAAAAACAAAAAGTTCGAAAAGTCGAAAAATTGACATTTTTCCCAAGGGGTTAACCCATGGTTTTGGTGAAAAATGGCTATTTTTCCAACATTTCTTTTTAGGCACTATAGGCCAGGAAAATGTCTTTTACGATATTCTAGAACGAAAAAACGACTTTCTAAGCTATCAAAAAAAAAAGTCGAAAACTTGACATTTTTCGAAAGGGGTTAACCAATGGTTTTGGTCCAAAAATGGCCATTTTTCCAAGTTTCCTTTTTATGCAATATAGGCCAGCAAAATGTCTTTTACGATATTCTAGAACGAAAAAACGCTTTTCAAGGCTAAAACAAAAGAACTTCAAAAAGTCCAAAAATTCTTATTTTTCAAAAGGGGTTAACCCATGGTTTTGGTCCAAAAATGGTCATTTTTCCAACTTTTTTTTTTTAGGCAATATAGGCCACGGAAATGTCTTTTACGATATTCTAGAACGAAAAAACGCCTTTTTAAGCTGTAAAAACAAAATGTTCACAAAGTCGAAAAATTGACATTTTTCTAACTTTTCTTTTTAGGCAATATAGGCCAGCAAAAAGTCTTTCACGATATTCTAGAACCAAAAAACGCATTTCTTAGCTATAAAACTAAAACTTCAAACAGTTGAAAAATTGACTTTTTTCCAAAGCGGTTAACCCATGGCTTTGGTCCAAAAATAACCGTTTTTCTAACTTTTCTTTTTAGGCAATATAGGCCAGGAAAATGTTTTTTACGATATTCTAGAACGAAAAAACGCCTTTCTAAGCTATAAAAACAAAAAGTTTGAAAAGTCCAAAAATTGACATTCATCCAAAGGGGTTAACCCATGGTTTTGGTCCAAAAATGGCCATTTTTCCAACTTTTCTTTTTAGGCAATATAGGCCAGGAAAATGTCTTTAAAGATATTCTAGAACGAAAAAACGACTTTCTAAGCCATTAAAACAAAAAGTTCAAAAAGTCGAAAAATTGACATTTTTCCCAAGGGGTTAATCTAATGTTCTGCTTCAAAAACTGCCATTTTTCCTAACTTTTCTTTTTAGGCAATATAGGCCAGGAAAAGGTCTTTTACGATATTCTAGAAGAAAAAACGCCTTTCTAAGCTATAAAAACAAAAACTTCAAACAGTCGAAAAATTAACTTTTT